GAGGTCCCTAGTAACCTTGGAGAGAGCTGTCGCAGTAGGGTCTCAGAGATACAAGCTGTATTCAAAGAGGCTGATGAGTTACTAGTTATACCTTCCACATCATGACTTTCCCCATCATAGTTTAAATATATCTCAGGTCAGCATAAGAAATTAAATGGGAATTTTTGGGGAGTTTTGCGGAAGCCACAGATGACACATGAAGGCCAGCAGATGACACAGAAAAAGTTTAGAAACTCAGAGGAGCATAAAAAATATATATAGTATTATATAATATCAGCCCAAATTTTACAGTAAGGTGCTGCAAATACCCCATAAAAGAAAAAAAATTCAGACTTATTCTCTGGTACAAAGAGAGGACCAAAAATTTTTACATGGATTTTCCAGGTTGCAGGGATGCTGTACCCCTAACCCCTACAATGTGGAAGGGATACCTGTACTTTTTCTAAAAATTTAGGAGTGAAGGGGAGGAAAGAAATGGACGCATACTTTGAGGTTATAATGAAGCCAAGGGAAGATGGGGAACCTGGGCATTTTGGGAGGCTGACTTGAAAAAACTAACAACTATGGAAAAATTGAAGATAAGATTGTATATTTAGGGCAGCTCCCTCCTTTTACAGAGGAGGAACTGAGGCCCATAGAGTTTAAATGACTTCCCCAAGGTCAGTCAGATAAATAAGCAGCAAAAATGGTATTCAAACCCAGGTCCTTTATCTTCAAATCCAGCTGTTTTACACTATCCCTGGATGCCTCTCTCTTTATTCGTGATTTTGAATTTTTTTTAAATTTTAATTTTAGGCAATTGGGGTTAAGTGACTTGCCTGGGGTCACATAGCTAGTAAGTGTTAAGTGTTAAGCCTCAGACTTCAGTAAGTCTGAGCACGGATTTGAATTCAGGTCCTCCTGACTTCAGGGCCAGTGCTCTATCCACTGTGCCACCTAACTGCCCCTTGATTTTGAATTTTGAGTGATGCTGGTGGTACCTTTCATCTGCTCTTATGTATCTTGTATATACCGATTTATGTTGTCTTCCATTAGCATGTAAGCTTTTTTATTGCAAGGATTGGGGGGGTGTTTTTTTTTATTTTTTTGCTTTTTCTTTGCATCCCTAGCATTTAACACAATGTCTGACACATAGCAGGTGCTTAATAAACATTGATTGATATGGAAGTCCCATGAGGTGAAAAATCCAAGGAACTATGAGAATAGGGTGTTGGAAAGAGCAGCATAGATATGGAAGTCTCTAAGGATGATGCCAGAGGAAAGGGGTGGGAGGACACTGAAGCCAGGTGCCAAAGCAAAAGCTGGGAGAGTACCCAGGACAGTGCAGGACAACCATGAAGAACGGGGGAAGGTGATAAAATTGGATGACATGAAATTCAGAGGGAAAGTGGGGCTGTCAACTGATGGTAACAGAGAAATGGGGTTATTTAAAATCATGACTGGGAGGAAGGCATAGATGGTATTGCTTATCAAATTTGCTGATGACACAAAGCTGGAAGGGTTAGCCAACCCACTGGATGACAGTCAGATTTCAAAAAGATCTTGACAGACTATCACGGTGGGCTGCATCTAAAAAAGATGAAATGTAATTGAGATAAATGTAAAGTGCTACACTTGCATTAAAAAGTCAACTTCTCACATATGTGATGGGGGAGTTGTGGCCAGACAACCTGTCTGTTTCTTCTACCTGCTTAGCCATTCTCTCAGTCTCCTTTGCTGGTTCCTCATCCATTTCCAGACCCCTAAGTGCAGTTGTCCCCTTCTGAGCTCTCTCCTTTTCTTTCTCTACCTTCTGTCCCCTGAACACCTCATTAGCTCCTATGGATTTGAGTATTATCCCTTTGCAGATAACTCATAAATCTATTTATCCTGCCTGACTCTCTTCTGAACTCCATCTTGCCTACAGGCTGTCTCCTGGTTGTCTCATCAGCATCAGTATGTCCAAAACAGAACTTGTTGTCTTTCCCTTTCAACCCAGCCCTTCTTCAAGTTCCCCTTACTTCTCTTTGGAGCACTATAATTTTCATAGTCATCCAGCTTTGTAGCCTTGGGTCAGCTCTGACTCCCCCCTCCCCCCACCTGCTTCATCCCTAATATTTAGTCAGTTTCCAAGTCTAATCAATTCTGCCTTTATGATACCTCTCCCATCCTTCAGTTTTTCTCTAGTCACATGTTGCAGAAAGGATTGCTTCTTAGCAGAGATTCTTTACCTTTCCTGTGTCATGAACCCCTTTGACAGTCTGGGGGAGCCTGTGGACCCTTTCTCAGAATAATACTTTTAAATGCATAGAATAAAATACATAAGATTACAAAGGAAACTAATTATAATGAAATGCATATATGAAACACAAATATGTATATGCATATATATGTTTATAAGTATATACACATAAAATATATTGATAAAATATAATGCTATATTATAATGTTATATGATATATACATACATTATAATATATACAATATATTTTATGATAATGTATAATTAAATATATATTCAAGTTCATGGCTACCAGGTTAAGAACCCCTGCTCTATAGATTGGGGTTGGACCAAGGTCTTTCCAGATTCTTTGACCCTATGATTCTGAGGGGCTGGGGGAAAGTAAAGTTGAGATGCATAAGGCTGAGAGAATATTATGAGGAGAGGCAGCATCAGGACAGGGCTTGTGTGTAGGGCAGTAGTTCTGGATGGAAGGGATGAGAGAATAAAAAGGTGAGCGGGAAGTTGGTGGGGTATGATAGCCACAAAGGAAAAGGAATATTGTGCTATTCAATTCAACAAACACTTATTTAGACCCCACTGTGTAGGCACTGTGCTAGAGTAGGGGATATGAAGAACATGAAACCATCTCCACCTCCCCAAGCAAGTTGTTTTCTCCTAGGGCAGATACCCCAAATACAGTAAATACAAGGTCTAGGGACTGAACCTGTGATTTCATTGGTATAGGGAACTCCTGGATGAGGACATTCCCTCTACTAATGCAGTTTCACCTTCTCAGGTCTTATGGGGTTACCTCGAATACTTGCCCAGGGTCATACAGCCAGTATATGTCAGAGCTGGGGTTTGAACTCAAGTCTTCCTGAAGGCTCTGAAACCAGACATCTATCTAGTATACCACATTGCCTTGCCAGTAAATACAAACTATATACAAAGTGATTGACAAGTTATGGAGTAGAGGGAAAGTGTTAACAAATTAAGAGAGTGGAGGGAGAGCAGGTCAGGAAAGACCTTGTGTAGGATCTGGGACCTAATCTGAGCCATGAGCAGAGTTAAGGGTTCTCAGAGCTGCACATAAGGAGGGAGAGCTTTCCAGGTGTGGTGGTCAAGCAAGTAAGGAGGAAGTGCTTTCTAGGCCTGAGCAGATCAAGGTGATTAATGGAGATACTTAGGTTTTGTAAGAGTGGAGTTGTGATGATGCTTCTACAGACCAGTGTGGGTCCTTCCAGGGGTCAGGCTTGGGACCAGGTTAGGAGATAGGGACAGACAGGTTGGGGAGAGCTTTCCTTTAGTGGACAACTCAGAAGGAAGAGTCATGACAGTGAGAGCCATAAAACAGGCTTCCAGATCATTCATGCCACCCCACCTCTGACAGTCACATAAACAATCCCAGGCAGGATGGGGGTGAGCTCTCCCAGCTGTACCCCAGGTGCAGCCTGGGGACACTTCTATTCAGGGGCTGTGCCTGCTGAGACAAATTCCCGTTGGGTAGGGGTTTGTCTTGTCCATTTAAATACTCTCTACAACACCTAGGACAGAGCCTCTAACACAGGTTCCCCACTCCTACCTAATGTATTAGGTGCTCAGTAAGCCTTGGGTTCTAGTAAAGGCCCTTCTGCTTTGTGACTTTGGGTCAGTCACTTCCTTTCTCTGGGCCTAATTTTTTACCACTGTAAAACAAGGGGGCTAGACTAGATGATCCTTAAGGTCCCTCCCTGTTCTGACAACGGATGGTTTCAGAACCAATTGTGGGTACCTCAGGTGTGACGTGTATTGAGGCAATTATGCTGGATTGGACTCTTTAAAAAGATGGAGGTTCAGATGTTATGGGAGTGGGGGAGCTGTTGATTCAGACACTTAAAGGAAGCTATCATCCCCTGTTTGGGAAGGAACATCAGTGAGTGGGGAATTGGGGAGGGTGGGTATTAAAGAGAAGTCTAGTGCCTTGTTCTGCTGGGGTCCCCAAGGCAGAACTAGGAGCAAAGGATGGAAGTTGCCAGATCAATGCAGGTATTGTGTAAGGAAATGAAAACCATCCTAACAATTAGAACTGTCCAAAAGTGAAATGGGGGCAGCCAGGTGGTGCCATAGTGCATAGAGCACTGGACCTGGAGTCAGGAAGACCTGAGTTCAAATCTGGCCTCAGATATTTACTAACTATGTGACCCTGGGCAAGTCACTTAACCTTGTTGGCTTCAGTTTCCTCATCTATGAAATGAGCTGGAGAAGGAAATGGAAAACTTTGAGTAGGGTCACAAAAAATCAGACACAACTGAAATGACTGAACAGCAAAAAAAGTGAAATGGGCTGCCTCCTGCAGGAGGTCATGGGCGGATTCCCCTTCACTGGAGGTCTTCAAACTTGGTTCTGTGGAAAGAGCAATGAATTTGGAATCAGAGGATCTGAGTTCAAATTCTGACTCTGCAACTTCCTACATTTGTGGTCTTGAAGAAGTTAATTAATATCGGAGTTTCTTTCTTAGTCTGAAGAGTGAAAGGGATTGGCCTAAAGGGCTTTTTAGGTCTTTGAATTTTAATGGATGACCCTGTAATCCTGCTACCACTTGTCAAAGAAGTCAAAGAGAGATTTGTTTAGGGATGGGTTCCACTAGATGACCTTGGGGGTTCCTTTTGAATCTTGTAGTCTTGCACTCTGCAAATATCTCTTGAAGATAATTGTGGTGGTAATTGTGGGTGGTGTTCTCCATGTCCACTTTTGCCAGAGGAGATGTTGACCTAGGTCCCTTTTGTTATCTCCCCCTCCCCCCCTTCCCACCTCTCAGAATGCTGTCCGACACAACCTGAGCCTACACAAGTGCTTTGTGCGAGTAGAGAACGTCAAGGGCGCCGTGTGGACAGTGGATGAGCATGAGTACCAAAAGCGGAGACCACCAAAGATGACAGGGTACGTGTGCTCAGCCCTCTGGGTCGTATGGGCCCCAGCCTTCTGGGCCAGCAAAAAGATCTGCTCAGTTCATGTATTTATGTGACTAGGCGTGTACATATGTACTGTTGGCCACTTATCTTCCCCACACCCTCTGCCAGCACACACGACCATCATCGCCATTGCAAGGACCAATATGTCACCCATCTATCCTAGCCTTGGCTCCATTTGAATCAAGTGTTGGGAATTTATGGATGGATGGATGGATGGATGAATGGATGGATGAGTTGAAATCAGAAGGGAAGGACTGAGAAATGGTCTACATGGAGTCTGGAAGTAATGAAGGGACAGGGTAGATGAGGAGAATTGCCCTGGTCATGACATTCCTATTCCCCCAGCCAAGATAGAGAAATAAAGGAGGGAGGGGAGAACCATGAAGAGAAACATAGAGGTACAGGATGAGGGCTAAAGATACACACATATATGCATCCCATGTACAGCCTCTATTCTGTATCTAAGTGGACATATATATACCTTGTTAGACACCCATACTGTGTATGTATATGTGGGTATATAAATATAAATGTGTACATATGTATATGCATGTATATATCGGGGAGTCAGGGAGAGAGCAAGAGAGAACAAGAACAGTTTTCAAGGTGTGTTGAGGGGGTTGGGAAGAACTGTTTTATCCCAATTTCCCTCCTCTCCAGATGTCTAGTCACCTGTCTCATAGGGATTCTCTAGTTTCCCAGGGCTGGGGCAAACACCAGAGTCTCCCCTTTGGGTCAGAGTATTTTGAAGAGAGAGCATGTGTTGGATGTGAGTGGGACAGCCAGTTGTCTCCACGGTCATGTTCTTCCACCCAAGTTTCCTTCAACTCATCCAACCCCCCTCGTTCGTTCACTCATTCATTCGTTCATTGTTTATCTTTTGTTCTCGAAGAGGACCATGGCATCAGGAAGGAGATATCATGACTTGCAAGTGAATTGGATTTAAGTGAGGCAGGGCTGTGCAAAGTCACCAGCCTCACTCTCTCCTTCTGAGCCATCTGGGTCCAATGGCAAGACATAAATCAGGATGACTGGAGATAGTCCAGGATGCAGTGGGAGACATTGGCCTTTTTAAGCTAAGGTCTTTCCTGGATCTCAATTTGACTGAGGCAACACCCATTCAATGATTAAGGCTAGGTAAGAAATGAGGCAAGGAATGACCTCTTTTACCTCATCACCCTAACTAGTGAATGACAACTGTCCCACCAGGGCCAGGATCTGGGCTGGGAAGAGTTTGTCCCTCCTGTCTCACGATGCACACCCCAGGAAAGTGATAGGCTTTTAAATTTCTCCCTCCCTCTTCCCCCCAAGGAGTCCAACTCTGGTGAAGAACATGATCTCGGGCCTCAGTTATGGAGCACTTAATGCCAGCTATCAGGTGACTTATTGTTGTCCCCCAGTGGGGTCCCACTCACCCTTCTTTCCCTCTCCCCTGCCTTGCTTCCTCAGTACCAGTTCCTTCCAAAAGCCCTCAATCACCCTTTATCAAACACCTGTCCTCTCCTATTCCAAAGAGCACCAGGGTAGCTGAGGGCCAAGAAAGGCTTATTTCCTTTTTTGAGGGACCTCTCTCCACGTTGGCTGAGACCCCCCAACTCCCTTTCCCCCTCTATCTCCTCCTTCCCACACAGCCTCCAGTTCTTTCCAATTCTTGTGTATGGAGCTGGGGGAGGGGGACAGGAGGGAAGATTGGCCCTGATTGCCTCTCCCCTCCAGTACAGGTGAGACCCTCCTCCCTTGTCTCCCTTCTCACTATCCCCAGTTCAGGAGAGGCCTTCTATCTCCCAGGCATCTGGAGCCCCTTGCCCCATGGGCTCCCTTCTGTCCTGGATGGGATGTGAGCTGAACCTGGGAGGGTAGAAGGTGGGAGGCCAGGGCTCAAGTGGGATGGGGCCAAAGAGAACAGCAGGCCAGGGGGTCCGGCATAACAGTCTCTTTGTATGAGAGCTAGGAGGGTGAGAGGAGTTAATGGATAAACAAGTGAGCCCGGACAGACAGATAGGAGGTTCCCCAGCTGGTGTGATGGGGGAGGGTGAGAAGAATATCTGCCACGGCCTTCATGTAAAGTATTCCTTTTAAAATATTTGCCCATCCCTCTTTTGTCTTGTATCCCTCTCTAGGCTGCCCTGGCCGAGAGCAGCTTCCCCCTCCTCAACAGCCCAGGCATGCTGAACCCAGGCTCTACCAGCAGCCTCCTGCACCTCGGACATGAGGATGTGAGCAGTACTGTAGAGCCCCTCACCAGCAATGGCAGCATCAGCCCCCCACGCCTCTCCCCACCCCAATACAGGTGAGATCACTCTCTGCCCCCTCTGTCCAATGCCATAACCCCCCCAAATTAGGAATAATAATAACAATAGCTAGCGTTTATATGGTGCTTTAAGGTTTCCAGAGTGCCCAGGGTCACACAGCTAAATAAATGTCTAAGCTAGAACTCATTTCTCAAGTCCAAGGCCAGCAGTCCATCCACTGTGCAATGTGTCTGCCTCAGCCATTCCAGGGGAAACCACCCTCTGCTGCCATGAGAGATGACATACCCACACCCCCACTTCACCTAGAGCAAGTCAGAGCCTCCCTCCTCCCCCCTTCCCTTCCTACCCCCACCCAAGTACAAGGGAGATTTCCCCCTGGTGCCAGTTCAGGAAAGTCTGCCTTCCCTCTTCCCCCAGGTCAGGTGAAATTCTCCCTTTCTCCTCTCTTTCTTCAGTACAATGAAGACATTGCTATCCCTGCTCATCTTTCCTCCCCTAGGATGGGGGCAGATGAAGAGAAGCATGCACACATACACATATCTACATATACAAACTTAACAAACACACACAGATAGCACATGTTTGCAAACATGCCCACATGTATCTCACACACACACACACACATGCATACACACACACACACACACACACACACGCGCGCGCGCGCACTTCCTTGGGCGGCATAAAATTGTATCTCCACAGATCCTTCTCTGGTGAGATGGGTGGAGTTCTGAGGGTCTGGGTACCCGGGGAGTGTGGGAGACTGGGTCCTCGTCAGGCCCCAGTGGGGCAGCAGTGCTGTGGTCTGTAGAGCCGGGGTGAGGGGTTGAGTGTAATGTGGGGAGTCAGGGAAGAGGTCTTTCTTCCTGCCTGGGGCTTGTATCCATCTACCCAACCATCCATCCATCCATCCCTTCTTCTCACTGCCGCAGTCACCAGGTGCAGGTGAAGGAAGAGCCAGCTGAAGCGGAGGAGGACAGTCGGCCTGGGCCCGCCCTGGGCCCCGCCAACCCCAGCACCGGGGCTCCCCCGGAAGACAGGGACCCAGAAGAGGATCTGCCTGGGGAGGAACTGTCGTAAGGGCCTCTGGGGGAGGGGCAGGCAGGGGAGGAAGGGGGTGAACACTCCCCCCTTCCCCTCCCCAGGCTCTCACCTTCCCCTCCACTCCACGCCCCCTTCTGCCCCCACCTCGAGGCCCTTCCGGGACAGCAGATTGGGGTGAGGCTTCTGTGCCATCCCACCTGTGACTGACGGACTCTGCCTGGCAGAGATGGCCCCCTTCCCCCTCCATTGACCAACGGCTGGTGGTCTAGAACTGGTGGAAGAGCCAGGAGAGTGTGGACCTCCAGTACCTGACTTCAGTCTGTGTCCAAGCACCTCCCTCCCTCTCCCCGACCCCCTGACTTCTGCCCTCCAGTCCATCCTCTCACCATGACCACCACCAGCAGGACTCTCCCCGCCACCTTTGCTTTCTGCCCCCTTCAACACTGAGACCCGCAGGCGGGGCTGACAAACCCCCATTCCCACCAAGGCAGCATTTGTCCCCTCCTTCCCCGCCCCGACCTTGACCTTGTACCCTCTTCTCTAACAAGCCCAGGACAAGGCAACCTTGTCAAAGGATTTAGAGCTAGAAGGGGCCAGAGAGATGATTTAGTTTCACCCCCTCATTTGGCAGATGAGGAAACTGAGGCCCAAGAAAAGGGAAGTGACTTGCTTAAAGCCACACAGACAGTAAGCAGCAAAGTCAGGATTTGAACCCAGGTCTTCTGATTCCAAGTCCGGTCCACTTTCTCCTCCCCGGTACTATACAAGGCATCCTTCTTCCATACTGTGAATGATCAACACCGGCCACCAGCCTCATGGGGAAAGGGGAGCCTAGAGCGTCTCAGACTCTACCCCCACCCCCCAGACAAACCAGTTCTCCCTTCCCTGTGTATCCAGCAGCCTCAGGTTGCACACGGGTGAAACCAGCTGGGGCTCTGGAACTGAAAGCAGCTTCAAGAAGGGGACTATTGATGGAAATCCCCTGCGTGAGGATCAGGCCTCCCCAAGGGGGGCAGGATGCTGTCTCGCTCACACCTTCCTGTGTCTTTGCTGTAATTGTTGAGCTCTGACTCTTGCCATCTCAAGTCAAACAGGGGCTGAGGGCCCCATCTCCACTGTAACCCCCCTTGTACCCTGCCCTCTTATGAAGAGCGGGCAGTATTGAGGGTCTAGAAGGAGAGATATGGGGACGAGGAGTGGGGTTGGGAATAGATTATTTGCCCTCGAGGAGAAGGGGGAAGAGGGAAAATGTCCCTAAGACTTTGGTATTCACCCATGGAACTGAAGGTTGGTTCCACACTTGTGGAGGGGGAAAATTCTCTGGCATCCACTAGGTGTCCCCGTGGAGCTCGCTGCTGCAGCTGGTCGGCTGAGGGAGGAAGTGTGCGCCTCAGCCTCCCGTGGCGTTAGAAGAGGCTTGTGTATGTGGGGCGGGGTCTGGGGAGGGCGGGGGAGCAGGCTAGTTGCCAAGGCCAGAGGAATGGGTTACCTCTTCCAAAGCTCTCCCTCCTAATCCTTCCCCCGCCCCCTGCCCCCCTCCATTTCACAGCCCCTCTCAATTCCCTCTCCTCTTCTTTCCCCATTTAAACAGATGACCAAAGACCTTTCTTATGCCAGAAGCAGAAACCAAAACTTTTTGTTTGCTTTTTTTCCTTTGTCACCCCTTGCCCTCCATTCCTGATCTGACATTCTGCCCTCACCCCCATGACTCCCTCACCCCCCAGTCTAGATGCTGGAGGGAGGGGGGTCCCCTCCACTTAAGTTATTGTTTTAAACCAAAGTTGACAGTGTCTGTTGGTGGCCATGGCTTTCTTCCACACCCCAGTCTTCAGCTGCCCACAGAAGGGGCCTGGGGACAGGCTTCCCTGCACACCTCACTTCTACTCTCGTTCCCTCCTCATCACTCTGTTCCTAGGCTGTCCTTCCTCTTCCCCTCTCACTGGGGACTTGGGATCTGAGGGGAAGGGAGGGCTCAAGTGCGATGAACTCCCTTTGGCCCCCTGGGGCAACGGTGGCTGTCTCCAAGGGCCTCTAGAGGGAAGGGCCAGTTATAGGTTGCTGTTCTTGCTTCCCCCTCTACCCTCCACCTCCAGTCAGTATTGTGTCCCAGCCAGCCAGCCATTCCTCTTGATCACCCTCTAGTGCCCACCCCAGGCTGGTCCCTGGTGTGCCCATCATCATACTCCTACCACTGCTAGGGCTGGAGACACAAAGGTGGAGGGCTGTATTCTGAGGGTTTACTGGGGAGAGAGCTGAAGCAGGTAAAGGGGCAACCAGATGTCATTCCTTCCCCCCACTATGGGGGATTCCAACTTCAGGTGAAGGGCAAGGCTGCTATGTCTGACACCCACCCTGCCCCTAGACTAGTCCCTCTGATAGGGACAGGACCAGGAAGGGGTTGGAGAGGGACTTGATGGTCTATTGCCTAGAAAAGACCCAGTCACCACACACAGACTGTGATCCTCACAAGTCCTCAGTAGGATTTGGGTGGCAGAAGGTCCCTGGTGCCTGTTAACCATGATCCTCATCCCAGTTTGTTCCTTGCCCTCTGACTTGTGCAGAAATATTAAATGCCCTCTGCTCTTAGGCCCTCAGTGTGTGTCACCTAGTGGGGGGAGGGGATGTATGATGGGGTAAGTCAGAAGAATCTGAGCATGGAACACAAAGCATGGGAGTGGGCATTTCCATAGGAGTGGATGAGTGTGTATGTATTTCTGTGTATGTATGTATGTGAGTCCATATGACCACACTCAGCCATGTATGAATGAGCAGGGATGTCGATGTGCATCCACGGGTTCCTAAAACCAATATGTGTGTCCAGGTACCTTTGTACGTCTGATTCAAAGCGTCATTCACAATGGAACAAAAGGACCTATTGGTTGGGAAGGTAGGCTTCCGGATTGGACTGCCAATCTAGTTTCCCACTTTAGCTTCTTTTTCTTTTCCCTTCCTACCAAGCTAGGTCTGGGGACAGCTTCCCCATAAAGTGGCCTATTAAGTGGGAGAAGCCAGAGTATTGGATAATAACAGTATTCTAATAGCCTTAGGTTCTGCTCAGGCTATCATTCTCCTCTACCCATCCCCCCACCAGCCCCAGCTCTCCTTCTCTGGGCTCTGGCCTGGCTCCTCACTGTCACTTCTATCTGCTGTTCTCTCAGCTTCTTAGTATACTTCTGGGTCTTCTCTCACCCCCAACAAGAGCTGAGGACACACACACACACACACACACACACACACACACACACACAAACACACACACATATCAGGTGCATCCTCCCTCATGCCCTACCTTCCCAGACAGATGAGGTACGGCCCCTTGCTGCCTTCCATCTCAGCTCCAGGTTCCTATTCCTTCCCCATATCTCTCCCTAAACCCCTCATTTTTTATACTTCAAAGTTTCCCAAAAGCTTTGTCTCTAACTCTTCCCCTCTTTTTTGCTTCTTTCCTAAATCAACCCCCCCACCCCTATACCACACCACCCCATGTTTTTACACAGGTTTGGAACCCAAGTTTTTTGTTGTTGTTTTTCCCAGGCTGATGTGCCTGGGAGTGAGACAGGGAGGTGGGGAGAGGTAAGCAGTTTCCGGGATCTGTTTACTTCTTGGACTAGCCCTTACAGTCACCCTGACCATCAGATCAAAGATCCCTTCCTTCCTTCCTTGATGGAAAACAGATCTTTTACAAGGGAAAGTAATTCTGAAGACTTGAGTCTGAACCATTGGGCCAGCAAATCCACATCCTTATTGGTGGTGTGCGTGTGTATGTGTGTGTGCATGCACAATGTGCTAATGTATGTATGTATATACGCCACTGTAAGGTTATGTATATGGGCACATGCTTACAGACTTGAATGTGTGTGTGAGTGTGACTGTGTGAGTTTGTCTCATGCAAAGCGACTATACTAGCTGGTCTAGCTGATAGCCAGGATGGGGTGTAGAGTCAATGGATGCCAAGGTGAGTGCTACTGGCCTCCCAACAAAGAAGGGATGGGGGGGACAGGAGGGACCCTAAAAATGCTTTAACCAAAGTCCTTCCCTGACCAGTTTTGCACTCTCTCTGGCTCCACAACTCCACCCATTCCTTACAAATCATGAGTTCTCTGCTTCCACTCCTCTCCCTAACATCACCCCCAAGATGGGGACCCGATAGATGGAAGGAAGCCTGCCTGTTTACTTCTCATACCATCTGTCTGCTATATACCTTCCTCTGAGATTTAGTCACAGGACCCCAAGTCTCAACTTTCAAACTTCTTTTTCACCACCCACAACCACCATCAGAGTCTTTCAGATACCCCAACACTTTTGGGGCCAGGGAGCTCCTAGACCAGGGTCCTTCAGGCATAGGGCTGAGGGAGGATGGGCCTGAGGAGGGGGAGGGTTGGCCTTCACTGGGGGGGAAGTACAGTACTAGGACTCAGCTCCCTTACCATAGCCAATCTCAAATGTTTAACACCACAGACTAAAGAAGAGTGGGGAAGAGGAGTGGGCCCTGAGGATTCCAACTCCTTAATGTGTCATCTCTTTTCTGTGGTCTCATTCCTTCTTTATTTCTGGCCTGGTTTCTGTCTTGTCTCCTTCCTTGCCCCTCCCCCTACTCCCTTTTTCTCTGCCTTTCTCTGTCTGTGTTATTTGTCTAACCGCCCCCCCCCACCCCGGCCCTTCTGTCTGCTCAGTGTGTGTGTATGTGTATATGTCTCGCTTGATCTTTCTTGGCCCCATATGTGTCGTTCTGTATCTCTCCCACTCCTTTCCTCCATCCTGCTGGACACATGCTCAGAGCTGGGGTCCCTCTCCCTCCCTATCCTCTAGTGGGGGCTACAGAGTGAAAGGGGTCAGGTGGGACAGACAGGGGATTTCATGTTCTCCCCTAGGCCCAGGCCCAGTCCCATCCTGTGCTGTATAAAGGAATAGCATTGCTGTGTATTCGTACTCCGCCTACTCTCCCTCCGCTCCGTGGCGGCAGACAGGCGAACCTTGTACAGTAGAACTAGCTGCATGTAATCTGTATGGACAACAGCATTATATATAATGCAATAAAGTGAATTACCTGCAATGATGCCCCTCCCCCCTTCTTTCCTCCCCACACCTCCAAAAAGCACCTGAGAATCCAGGACGCTTCTTTGGAGGCAAGTTGATCCCTCTCCCTGCCTCTGGTCCAGAACAGCCTTTGCTCCAGCCCATAGGGGTCTGCCCTGTGCTAAAGAACTTCCCAGGGATGAGACTGCTGTGCTCTACTCACCACCCCCACCTGCTCCCATCCAACTTCACTCTCAGAAAAGTCACCCCAATCATCTAACCTCATAAGGATCAGAGATCTATAACAAGAAGAGATCTCAGAGACCACCTAGTCCAACTTCTTCATTTTACAGAAGATGAAAGATCCAAGGAAATTAAATGACTTGCCCATGGCCACCCAGATAGAGTCAGAGGCAAGATAAGAACCCAAATCCCCTAATTCCTGAGTCAGTGTTCTTTCCATCATACCAAGGTGCCTCCACTCCAGACCTTCCAGGCAAAGTTTCAACCCTTACTTCCTTCTGTCCTGTGCTCTGAAAACAGAAGGTAGCCTTTCAGGGATTTGGAAATCCAGTGGAGTTCATGCCCCTGGGATTGACTTAGGAATGGCAAGTAGAAAGCAGAGAGCCCAGAGAAAAGAAGGGAGTACATCTCTGAACCCCATGAAGTTTAGACTCCTAAATTTAATTCCCTTTTTCTGAATTGTCTCTCTCAAGTTCACTTCATCCATCCTTTTCTGCCTCAAAACAAGAAAGGCCATCTTCCAACCAGGACCAATTGGGTTCATCCCGTGCCAAGAGATCCCAAGGAAAGGCTTTTTCATAGCCTCCCACACTTACCCACTCCTGTGCCTCAAACATCTCGGTTACTCATATTTATTTAGTGCTGACTAGTTATAAAATACCTCTCATGCCTAACATCTTTGTATCTTCATAACAACTCTGTGTAGTGGGGAGGGCAAGTATTATTAGTGTTACCATTATTTATACCAGATCTTTATTTAGCTGAAGGAAGTCCTAATGAGGAGACTCCTACCAGCACAGACAGGCTTCTGTCTTCTGTTTTGCAAATTATAGTTTTCTTTTTTTTGACTTTTTTTTTTTGGTAAGGCAATCCAGGTTAAGTGACTTGCCCAAGGTCACACAGCTAGTTAAGTGTTAATTGTCTGAGGCTGGATTTGAACTCAGGTCCTCCTGACTCCAAGGCCACAGCTCTATTTGCTGCACCACCTAGCTGCCCCCAAATTATAGTTTTTGCATGTTATCTGGGACCCCAATAGGTTTAAATTACTTGCCCAGGGTCACAAAACCAGTATATGCCAGATAAGATTCTGAACCTAGTTCTTCCTGATTCTGAGCCCAACTCTTTATCCATGACGCCATGCTGCATTTAGGATTGTTAGTATTCCCATTTTCTAGATAGAGAAACTGAGGGTCAGAGAGATGAAGTGGACAGGGTGATATAGATAGTAAGTAGAAGCACTAGGGCTTGACCTGATCCTCTGGCTCCACGTCTAGTGCTCTGTCCATTCCCTACCTCTCTATGCTTTGGTCAGTGATCAAACCTACTTCCTGGTTGTTTGTATCTCTGAAGTTCTGGGGAACAAGTGAGCGGCTCTGATTTCTGCTTCTCCTGACACCAATGCAACTGTTCTCCCTGGCAGTCCTGGAAGGAATTCCACTGAGTTCTCAAAGGTACTTTTTGTGGGCCCGGCTTCCAGACAGTGGAAGAAGAGGGGAAAAAAAGAAAGATCAGCTCTTCCCTACCTCCCAAAAGGTCCTTCTCTCGTTCAGAAACAGAATCCCACAAACATACACACACATACACACCCTCTCAAAGCCTTCAGCCTTCTGTCGACTTTTCATTGCAGGACTCTAAATGACCAGCAGAGGGTGGTGTTGGACAAAGCAGTCACTGAGCTCTATCCCTTGAACTTGACCTTTGGTGGGAGAAGGGGATGAGGGATCAGGATAGGAAGAAGTAGGTGCAGGGGTGTGTATCTCAGCCCCCCCCCACACACGTAACACACTCTTCACTGCCCTAGGAAGGTCCCAAACTGCAGCCTCTGGATGGGGTAAAAAACAGGTTAAGCCACTTGGTGTTTTGGACAGTGTTTTCAGGACACTCCTCCTTCTCCCCAATTGTCTCTTCAGAAATTGCCCAGATAAAGCATGGGAAAGGAGTGAGGGAGGAGGAGAGAGAAAGAGAGACAGACACAGAGAAACAGAGAGGGAGGGAGGGAGGGAGGGAAACACGGAGAGAGAGGAAGGGAGGGAGGGAAAGGGGGGAAGAAGGAGAGGAGAGAGGAGAGAGAGAGAGAGAGAGAGAGAGAGAAGGGGAAGGGGAGAGAGAGACAAACAGAGAAATATTAATAAATGGGGTGGGTGGGAAGAGTGGGGTTGGGCACCCATGGCTTAATCTCTATTTTTGGTAACTCTCTTTTCCTCAGCTCCCTCCACCAAACCTTTCCTTTCCAGAAACTCCCACTGGGGAAGCTTAGGCACAGAGTTCTACAGAGTTGAGAAGGGGTATCCTGGCCTCCATGTCCACAGCCCCCATCCTTCAATCAACTGAGCCA